TAAGGTTACCAAAGAAAACTCCTTTGTCAATGTAGGCTACCGCGAAGTGTTGTGCCACAAAATCTTGGCCACCCATTTAGAAAAACCACTTCCCCATCTGTCTAATGCTTTCTCTCAATCCCGAATAATCCCAAATACCTCCGATTCACATCACATGGCGGATATCACTAAGCGTTTTTCCAGTAAGACCAAACGATCAGAAGTTATAGAATTTTTGAAGTCGAAATTTCGCTTTCACTTAGGCGCGTTAAATGTCCACACTTAGATCAGTCAACAAGCTGCCTTGGCTACAATCCTTGAAACATTCAATTTAGAAGTATTTTACTACCGAAACATGCCTCAATCATCTCCAAGCTTTCTCCTGAATCAACCGCATCCTCACACCTCACCTTTCGTGTGTCAGGCGATTCGGCATCTGACGCTCGTGTTGGGATTGCAGTGTCGTGGTCGAGGGCACGTTTCTAGATGTCAGTCAGCAGCCGACCGTGCGCTGTATGTCTCAAAGGAATAACTAAGAGTAACAATAATTCTGTTGACCCTTAAGATAACCAACTGCTTCGAAACTAAACGGTCAGGAATTAGTTTTAGTGGACTGCTTCTCCTACTCAAGTAGTTGCGTGACCAACGACGGTAGAACAGTAAAAGAGATAACCACTCGCATTTCTAAAGCTCGAGCAGCACACGCAGGACTCGAACACCTTTGGTTTCACTGACGTTGAAAGGTTGTGTATATTGTGCTAGCGTTTGTTTTGTTCTGCTTCATGGTTGAGACCTTGAAGTTACGACCAGAATACATCTATCGACTACAAGTACTCTATTATCGGTTGTTGACGTAGTTTAGCCCATGTGAGATAAAGCGAACGGGTTAATAATCTGGAGACGTGCTGCCGTGTTTGGAAGTTAGTCAATGATGAACCTGCTAGCTCACTGAATTGAGATCAGCAGGCTTCGCCGCCTAGGGCACGTATTGCGTATGCTCAGCTGTCGTCTGCCGCACCGCGCTTTATTCGCCATAGCTAATTCGGACCGGAGGAAACCACGGGGAGGTCAACAGATGACGTGAAGACGAGGCTTGAAGAAATGCACAGGGCAATTAAGTAGAGTAGATGTCTCCCGTCTTCCAGGTTGGGATCCGAAAAATTCCGCACCTGGTTGGTTGGGGACAGGGTACGGAAGCAAACTGACAGTAGTGGTGTTCTTGTCATTTCTTATCAGGCCAGAATGCTTGTAACAGCCTGTGCCAAACGAATCATGGTGCAATACTCTTTATAAAGAAGAAAGGTTTCACGATATGCATGTGAGCGGAATACTGCCAGATTGCCCAGGCCAATGAATATTCTTGAGGAATCTGCAACCGAGCCCTTGGCTAGCCAAAGTTTGACCTGCAAGGCAGCGGGGCGGTGTTCGAAAACCGCGATCCATTGGGGCCGGTATCTGGTTCATCGGATTATACGCCCTCTGGACGGAATCACACGTCCAAGGTGCCCAATACACCTCGATACCCAAACGAGCCAGTGAACAATGCCATAACCAGGAAGTCTTGTTCGTACGCCTCCCCTTGATTGGTTTGGAATCAGGGTTTCATGACAACTGCCCTAGGTGAACTACCGGTGGNTACCGGTGGTCCACCAACCCGGTTACAGCCCCGGATGTCGGCTTTTGGTCCGCTCAGTTTGCTGAGAAAACAATTCTGCCGCAAGGTAGTGAGTAGGGCTTCCTCAGCTTGAAACAGTATGTATGCAGAGCCCGATTGTGTTCTCTGCGTTGACCGCAAAGCTTCACCTTCTCCCCGTCCCTCAAAGTAGGTCCAATCCGTGTCCATCTTAAACTTTACAACTAACCTTGTATGTATTGCGAATTTGGCAGTGATCAGTGAAGTTCGCTTCTCTGTACGCGGATAATGATGACGGGTCAACGCCCGAGGAACAAAACGTCGCTGTGTACACCGACGGAGTGTAGTACATTTTAGGTCAAAATGAATTCAGTCAGGATCTTTCTCGATCATTATAAAAAGTTTGATTGACGGACATTGTAGTAGTCGCCGGAGACTTCAGTGCCCAAGCGGGACACCTGGACGAATAAGAAATGCTTTTTGGCGGACCACAAACAATCCCAACGAACCGGACGGACAACGCAGATCACCGACTTTAGATATACGTGGACCAAGCACTGTCAAGCACTACTCGCATAAGAGACGACATCACCTTACGTGGAAACGGCGAAGCTCTTAACACCGATCGAGCACAATTGATCACCGTAGGTTACCGCTAGTGGGGATCGATTCAAGACTCGTTTTCACTGCTCACCCGTGGTTACGGACCACGCTTTTTTACGAGCCAAATTCTCCTTAGACCTGGAAAACAACCTCAAAAGGCCACTGGTAACGGATACACACGGTACAACGTTAGTGATAGTGGTAAATCGGCTTTCGAAGCGGATCACTCCGATCGCCTCTCAGTACAACCAAAGGCAGAAGTATACTGGAAACAAGTCCAGGAAGCCATGCAAATATCGACAAAAAAAGAACGACGAACTCTCGAGCAGGCTTAAAACAAAAACGATTAATCTCATCAGCCTCAGCTGCCCCGCTGGACGACCGCAGAACCGTTTCTCCTGTTGTCGCAAACCTGTTAGAGGTCAGCTGATGAAGAGTCTGAGGAATGACCGCGAGTATTGGTGGTTAGGAAAGTGGAGGTAAAAAAAGCTGCGGCTACTGGTAAGTCGCACTTTTTTGTCTAATTAGGAGTGCGGGTCCCAGGAAAACAAGCGTGAGGTACTTAATAAATCCGATGACACTGATTCATAATCAGCAACGTTGTCTTGATCAGTGAGCTGAACATTTCAAGGCTCAGTTCAACTCTCCCCCATCTGATCTATCAACAAACATCGCCGTCGCAGCATCCGGCTGTCCATCAAGGGTCGAGTACAATTTGCGGTAGTTCGATCAGTTCTGCTATACAGCGCAGACTTGGTCATTGAGAAATCCGGATAAGGCTAGACTATCGGTGCTCGAGCACTGCTGTCTGCGCAACCTTGCACAAATCTGGTGGGACAACTGGACGAGCAATGCTGAGGTTAGGCGCAAGTGGTCGACCTTAGATTAGGTTTAGGGCACGGTTACGCGTCACCATTCAATCCCTGCTCACCTAAAATGTTACCACTAACCTTGTATGCATTGCGAGTTTGGCAGCGATCGGTAAACTTCGCTTCACTGTACGATGATGGTGATGATGACGCGTCACTAAATAGGTTGCCGTGGCGAGCGATGATTGCCGAAGCAGGTATTCGACGGGAAAAGCCAAGGAACTAGCATGAGGATATCAGCGTCAGTCACATAAGGTGCCGTTAGGCTGGCGACCTCGGGATGGTCGTAACCGGTAGTTAGGGAGAGTGATAGGGCTGTTGTAAACAGCGGGCTTCGTTCATCACAATTTTTTCAACCTTAGTCTCCTATTCGATTTTGCCTCAGCTTTTCTCTGATTCAATTGGGCAGCCAAAGACAGCAACCAAAACCGGAGTACAAAGAGTGTATGGTTAATGGTTGGACACAACCATCGCCCTTACAACTTCGTGTCCCGATTTCGGTGGCTTCCTCACCACGGAGTAAAGAGACAAGTAGTGGTCAGATCGGAGTGAAAACAAAGAATACACGAAGATTGAGGTTACTAAGATTGATATGCACGAGCGCTTTTGTTTGGGACACCCGGCAATATCCGTGACTCACTGATCGACCTATATGAGCAATCAGGGTTTTCATGCCACTGACAGGCTGTCTGACCACCCCTGATTTCTCTACCCATGATCTACCTGACATAACCTACTGAAATACAGCGCGTCATGGTAATCTATCAGACGACGTCCAGCATACATACCCGAACTAACATAATCTATGAAGGTTGACCACTTGTTCCAGTGGACGACCACCATCACCTAAAACAGTCAACCTGTGGTGCTTGAACGCGGTTTCCTCAAAACGGGATAACCAGGAATTCAGCTGAAGTGTGAGCGGACGCATATGGGCTACAAGCGAACGAAATAATGGACCAGCACCGAAGTA